GAAGCAGCAAGAGGGGCTGACCACAGAACTCTGAATGCCACCAAGGCCAAGAGCACTTGAGAGCACTTGATGCCCTTGTCTTGTAGGGAGCTAATGTGTTCTACAAATAGGTGACCAACCTTTTGATGTTTTCCCTCTCTCAGTGAGCTCTTATTGAGGCTCTTCCATCCTTCTTCTAACAATTGGGTTCTTTTAAGAATGCTATTTATGGGGCTGGAGATTTAGATCAGTGATGCCATCACCTGCCTCTGTAGCACAAGATCCCAAGTTCAATCCCAGCACCAAAAAAAAAAAGAATGCTATTTATGTTGCTGAGTCATGGGGAGCCACATCTGGACTTAAATTAGAAGAATGTAGCTAGCTCACAACTGAAAATAACCACCCCTTCACACACACATTCCCTCCTACAGCAGACATGGTATGACTTGAGCTATTTCTGTTTGCTGGGGAGAGGGTGGGTGTCCCCAGAAGCATATGCCGAGACAAGAAATCTATTGCAAGCAGTTTATTTGGTAAGTAAAGGAAAATACTGATAAAAGAGTGAGGAAGTGATGCAAAGAAAGTAAGGAGATCAGTATAGCATGTGTTATCAAGTCAGTTACTATTGTGTGCACAAGGAGGTCTTGCTCTGGGAGCCCCTCAGTGTAGGCACCATACTGTTAGCCCTCCCACAAGAAGTGAGGAGCCTGAAGTGTTCCCATCAGCTCCCATCAGTCACTGATTGAGAATAGTTTCTGGGGAGGAAGAAAAAAATAACTAAATGAATTGATAAATTATAGGACTTCATCTGCTTTTCTATTTCTTCTTGTGTTTTTTTTTTTTTTTTTTTTTGTACCGGAGATCAAACTTAGGATCCCACACTTGCCAGGCAGGCACAGGGAACTACATCCCTGGCTCTTGTTGTGTCATTTTAATGAGCATTTTCTAGGATTTTCACCTTCCTATTTATTTATTTATGTACTTTTAATGACACTAGGGCTTAAACTTAGGGATGCTCTAACACTGAACTGTATTCCAGCTTGTTTGTTTGTTTATTGGTCATGGGGACTGAATACAGGACCTTTGCAGTGAGCTACATCCCCAATCCTTTTTTATTTGTTATTTTGAAACACAGTCTCATTAAATGTATAAGTTGCTCGGGTTGCATTATATCTCATGAGGGTAGATTTTTATCTATGGTTTGTAAAAAACAACCTGCATCAATAAAAGAATTAGAGATACAAGTTCAGAAGGAGAAACAAAACTACTTTATGGGGAAGGGAAGGGAAATGGGTAGACAAAAATCACTTTATTGGAAAAAAAAGGAGAGAGATGAGATAGATAGCTACCGTGTTGGAGTAAGGTAGGGAGCCTGGAATTGGCACTCAGTGGTCTTTGTTCTTAGCCCCTTTTATGTCATGGCAAGAAAGGGATTCTCCCTCTTCAAAGTTGTTATCATTTGATCGGCTATTTTGACCTCTGACACCCCCGATCTGACCACTTCCCCCCTTCCATTGCCTATGTGTAAATTATTGGATAAGCAGGACTTTGGTCTCTTTCTGCTATCCAGCTGCTTATCTTGTGAGTTTTACAGCAGAGTTGCATTCAAGGTCAAGTTAGTAAAAAAAGATACATGTGCATTTTAGTGTATTAATATGGTGAGAATAATAAAATACATACATATGTATATATATGTATGAGTGTTAAAGTATTAGTGTATACCTTATATACTAAATGAATTTTTATAATATAGCCTGCTTGTGTGTGTGTGTGTGTGTGTGTGTGTGTGTGTGTGTAATTGGAGGTACAGGAAGGAGAGAATTGAGCTTTGGCATGAAGTGAGCCAGGCCAGCCCTCCACCTCTGTCCCTTTGTTTTTCTTACTCTCTCTCCCCACCCACATTTTTTTGGGCAGGGCAGGGGTTTAACTCTTTATTTGCCAGAGACCTCACTGAGACCCTTTAACTTTCCCTTCCTGTCCCCCAACTTTATCTTTAGTTGGACACAATCCTCCCACCTCAGTCTCACAGAGTTCTGTGACTACGGGTGTGTCACAGTGCCAGGTTTTTGGGGTTTTTTTTTAGACAACATCTCACTGACCTGGAGCTAGGAATCCTCCTGACTCAGCTTCCCGAGTAGATGGAACTATAAACATGTGCTATGGCACTTGGCATTCATCTTAATTTTAATTTTAATTTGTTAATATTTATTTATTTTTATTATTTTATTTTTGTTTTTTGAGACAGGATCTCACAATGTAGTTCAGATTGGCCTTGAACTCACTATATAGCTCAGGCTGGCCTCACACTCTCAGCACTCCTCTTGCCTCAGCCTCCTGAGTGCTGGGATTACAGGTGTACACCACCATACTCAGCTTAATTTTTAAATATATTAACATAAATCTATTCATAATATCCTTTACTTAGTTTTTTCAATTTGTAGGATCAGAAGTAATTCTCCTTTTATATTTGTGACTTTCTCTTAATGAAGATTCCAAAAGGTTTATTCATTTTGTTAGTCTTTTCAGAGAATCAACTAATGGTCGCTAATTTTCTATTTTATATGCTTGGCTTCCTGGTGATTTTTATTACTCTTATTATTAGTTTTTGCCTGTTGAGACATGAGGCTATGGAGAAAATACAAACACTGCTGGCAACAAGAGAAAGAGGACAAATATGGCTTTCCTTTCCTCTGACCCTCCAGTGTTTAACTTGTAGTCTTCCTGCCTCAACCACCCAAGTAGCAGATATTATAGGCATGCCATCCCCAGATCTTCTGCATGTTTTAAGTGTACACATACATACAGTTTTCAACTAAGCATGCATCATTGCTCTCATAATATTTTCAACATACATTTGTATTTATTTGCAGATTTTCCTTTTTTGTTACTCATCATTTCTTTGTTTCTCTCTGATCTTTTGAGACTATTTTGTATTCTCCCAAAACATACACTTTATACTCTTAATTATGTTCTGTAGGTAACAAAGTGTCCCTATATCTGAATTCCAAAATTCTTGTATTTTTACCTAGGCCTGGTGGTGCATTCCTGTAATCCCAGCACTCTGGGAAGATGATGCAAGAAGATCATGAGATCAAATTGTATCTGGGTGACTTACCAAGACTCTGTTTCACAATAAAAAGGGTTAGGAAAAATAGCTCAGTTCCAAGTAACACACATGACACATACCCAGAAAGCAAAATGTTTTGATCTTTAGTTGTGAAGGACTATTTTGCTTATTTCTTTACAATTTTATTTATTTTTGTTTTGTTTTTGGTACCAGCGATCGAACTCAGGTCCTTGTGCTTGCAAGGCAGGCAGGGGAACCACTAAGCCAAATCCCTGGCCTTTATTTTGCTTATTTTAAGAGGCAATGATTTTCTCTCAGCATATTGAAAAATATTTGTGTTTTCTTCTACTGTTTCTCTTGAAAAATCAGCCAATGGATTATTACTTTTTAAGTTTTTTATTATTTTATTTTTGGTGTTAAGAATTGAACCCAGAGGGCCAGGGATTTAGCTCAGTGATTCTGCTGCCTGTCTTGCAAGTGCAAGGTCCCAAGTTCAATCCCCAATACCAAAAAACAAAAACAAAAAAAAGAATTGAACCCAGGACTTCATACAAGCCAAACACATGCTCTACCTCCATGTTATACCACCAGCCTAATTATTGCTTTTATTTCTGTTGTGCAGAGAACTAAACCCAGGAGCTTGAGTGTGCTAGGCAAGAGATCTGCTGAGCTACATCCTTACCTAGTTATTGCTTTTTTTACAGGTAATATGTGCCTTTACTTTGGCAGCTTTTAAACTTCTTTGCCTTTTACTTTTAGAAGTTGTACTTTCAAGCATTTCTATATTTCTTTTTCTCAGTACTGTGTGAGACTCTCGAAGCTGGTGTTTTTTTGTTTTTTTTTTTAATTCTAGAATGTTTAAAGCTATTGTCTTTTCAAATATCAGCCCTGCCCTGGCCCCTCTCTGATCCTTTTGAGGCTCTGATATGCATTAGAGCTTTTCAATATAAGCATGAGCATGTCTTGTTCTCCTTTCTGTATTTCCAGTCTTCTGTGTGCTGTATTCTTGATCATTTATTTTCATTTATCTTCCAGTTTCAATTATGTATTCTCTGTTGTTTTTGACCCCATAGTAAACGTATACATTGTGCTTTTTTTTTTTTTTTTTTTT